TTTCTCTCTCTCTCTCTCTCTCGATGCGGGCAGTCCGTTGTCGCGCATCCCAAAGACCTCACAGAGTCGTCACCCCGCTTAGCCTGAGCGTGCAAGCCAGGTTCGCCCACGTGCCACAGTCCCTCGCGGCCACGCGTCAACCCCGCACACTCAGCACCAGCTCGTCAGATCGCCCAACTCTCTACTCACCGTCTTTCTGTTCGTTAGCCGATTCTCTCGACCGCGCTAACTCCCAAGTAGATTAGAGAGAGAATTAATCGCGCTTGCAGAATTTATAGCTTGCTAATCAGCGCGCAATAGTCGGGATTGCCAGAGGAACAGGAAAGGAGAGAGAAGTGCCTAGGGGTGCATGACTGGGCCGCGGCGTGGGGGACGTAGCCGCACTCCACGCTTCGATCCAACCATGCAACGATCTGGCCAATGAGATAGGAGGTAGAGTGTGCATGCAGTGACGCGGGAAGGGAATTTCAAGAATGGGGAAGATTATGGTTACACCTGCGTAGCGGGGAAGGAACAAGAAGAGATTACAGTTGAGATTAGAATTTGGGCACGGCGGGAACAGAGCGCAGGTCCTTGTGCAGCAAAGCGCGCTCGCAAGTAAGAGGCGATGTGTAGTTACGGGCAAAAATTCCAACGTACCCAATTTCCTACTCTAATTAAAGTCCTAATTACGAAAAGAAATTCCGAAAGCCCGCATGGGCTCATTCCAAATTCAAAAATTCCGAAGAATTATCCGCGCGATTATTGCGCCAAAAAGATGGGCGCCTTATTTGAAAAAAAAAAAAAAAGAAGAGAAAAGCGAAAAAGACCGTAGCAGAAGTTGTTCCCCTTCCGCGCTCGCTAAGGCGCGGGCCTATTGTCCCAAGGTCCATAACCGCCACCGTCTCTTCTCGAAGGACCAAGGAGAAAACTTCGAAAAATCAAGAAAGAAGGACCTCCATGCAATTTATCCGCGATCCCTCTGTGTACCCCCAATCCCGGTTACGCAGAAGATGGCGCCTTTCTGAAAGTAGTTCGTCACATATGTGACGCCCAGGGGGTTCCATCCTGTGCAAGCTCCTGCTTGCACACACATCTCCCAAGCTCGAAGAGGAAAGAAGAAGGAAGGGCGAAAGAATTACAATCCCACCAATATTACACGTGTCGTTACCGTAGGATAAGAAAGTGGACGTCATCCTTTCGACACATCATTCGAGCCGCCCTTGTTTCAAGGGTGGGGGAGTCAGAAGATGACGGGGATAGGCAGGGGAGGATCATTCGGGAGAGGCGGTAAGAAATTCGCCATCCCCATCATCGTTTCCGGGAGCTCCTGGTACCTAATGATGCGATGGATGCGGGGGAAGCGATTTCCGCCTTCAGGGAGAGAAGCAAGATAATCGGGATAGAGGATTGAGAAGGTGTGAAACAGCGCCACGCGGAACTGCTCATGATCTGCACACACGGGGATAGTTCCCGTGATGATGCAGTAGACTTCAATGACATCCTGGTCTCGCCACGTGACGCTGATCAGAAGGACGTGGAGATAGAAGGAAGAAGAGACACATTGGGCGGCGGGGTGCGGATATACGTCGGCGACGAGGCGGGTGGCGTAGAATTGGTGGAAGGTCGAAGAAGGAAAAGGATTGGAGGGGAAAGAGCGCGGAGTATCGATCTGTCGGAAGGTGAGTTAATCAAGGGGACGACGGGATAGGGAATGGGGACGTAGCCCGATGTCCCGAATTGCCACGAGCTCGAACTGAGGGACGGGGGGAAGGGGAGGGGGAGCGGGATCGCCTGCGCGTCGCCGTGCCAGAAGTCTTTGCACGAGGGTGCTTATCTTCCTTGGCTGGCGGCTCGGGATCTTTAGTCGGGTCGTCCGGAACAGGCAGATCGACTCCCACCGACAGCTCCAATGGCCGCTTTCCCTCCGCGATGGCCGCCCTGCGCCGCTCTGCTTCTGGATCCTCCTCCTGGGCTTCCACCTGCACCGCCTCCTCTTCTCCGACCGCTTCTTCTCCGACCACTTCTTCTCCGGCCACTTCTTGCTCTTCAACTTCTTCTTCTTCTTCTTCTTCTTCTTCTTCTTCTTCTTCTTCTTCTTTTTCTTCTTCTTCTTCGCTCATCACCCCCGCCTCATGCTCGCTATGCTCACTATAATCCTCGTCCTCTTCAGAGGTCTCCTCCTCGTCTTCTTCCTCCTCCTCCTCTTCCTCCTCCTCTTCCTCTTCTCCTTCCTCTTCTCCCCCGCTCACCGAGTTGAAGAGAGCGTCCGCAATCGTCCCGGGATCCAGGTAGCTGTGCGATGGGTAACAAGCGTTGTCGTCATCACCTTCCAGGCATGCTGATTATTGCAGATACGGTACCAGGCCGCGCGAGAGGATGTGTGGTACTGGACTCTTGTCGGAGTGCGAGATGACGTCAAGCGGAAGGTCGTCGAGTAGCTCGGTCTGAAGGACCAGCAGTTCGTTTATAATCGTCCGTCGATGGCCCGTCTCGACCGATCCGAAGACGAATCCTAGAAAATCCCCCTCCCTGTCTGTCCTCCAAGCTTGAATGAGTAGCAGCTCGACGTTCTCACCAACAACGGGCTGCTCACCGTCCTTCCACCATGTCATATCGATATCGACTAAGCACAGCGAAAGAGTCACGTATGTCTGCCACCACCTTAGCCACTGCTCCTGCTTGATCCTTGGAAGCATAAGCGGGCGTACGCAGAAAGAGAGGCGGGGATGGAGGGCGGACTGCCTGAAGAGAGGAAAGGTAGAGGGGAGGCTGAAAGTAGAGAATCTGGAGCGGTTCATTGGGGGCGCGGGAAGGGGACAAGCTCGGGGATGAGCACCGCTGGTGTGTGCCGAGAGAGGCGAATGCCGTCTATGTCAATATTGTCTGTATTGACGATGTTCTCCCCCCGCTGCGCGAGCATCTGACTCCACACCCTCGATAATTGCGCTCCCCACTCTCGCAACGAGTCAAGGATGACCGTATGCGTTCTGGGATCGAGCGGCGTAAGATCCCCGTTGAAGATGATGATTGTCGAGATGTGAGCAGTTCCTGGCGCCGAGAGCCGACGGTAAGCCGAGGCTTCGGCCAACACGTGTGACCTACTGTTGGGGATCGCAAATCGAAACTCTGCCGCCTCGTAGAATCCCGCTGTACTGAAGAACTAGGCGAAGCGGAGAGCGTCCGGGCTGATGCACGGATGATACACTTGCCGAATCGACGAGATATGCCCACCTGGCGCCAACATGCGTTCACTAAGTACCTGCTTCGTGGAGAAACTCATGGCGAAGAGGAGGGAGAAGATGAGCGAGTAGGAGAGAGAGAATGAGGCTCGTCACTATCCCACTCGGACCCTGAAATCGACCCCGCTGGAGAAGGAGGGGAGGAAGTCGAGAGATGGCGGAGGTAGGACATGTGGCAGACGATAGGCCTAGCAGACCGGCTACCGGACACCTCAGGAGCAAGCCGCGCCGTGTTCACGCCGTTAGGACCGAGCTCGATCACTCTGAAGCATCCGTAGAATCGTGGCGCTAGCTTGCCCTGGCGCGCACATTTCCTTACTTGCACCAAGTCCCCCAATTTGTACTGGGGCCGAGGGCCAGCATTCCTATTTTGGGCCTCATAACTCCGGACCTGGCGTCCGGGGGCCAATTCAGTCATACGCTGTCTTTTCCAGGCCAATCTCGGAAGGGCCCGTTCCATAAGGTCCAGATGGCGCTTGGCCTTGTCCTTGGCCGTCGCCCGCGTGGGACGTTTGTCCAGCGCCGTTTCGTTATTTAGGTTCGGTATCGAGACACAAGATAGGCTGTTGGTACGTAGCTGGAAAGGTGAAAGTCTGGTAGATTCATGCAGGGTGCCTCGATGTATAGCTAAGATGTGATCTACGATATCAAGCCACTGCCCCGTGTCCTTAGCTGCAATATTCCGTCAGAGTGCCGTTTTAATTACTCGGTTGGCATTTTCCACGAGGCCGTTCGATTGAGACATATGGGGAGCCGTATTACGAATAGACACCCCGTGTACGACCAGGTTCCTCATGACTTCTCCCCTGAATTCAGTTCCGTTGTCGGTAAGGATTTCCTCGGTGTCCTGATGCATCCCGAGGAAACGGTTGACATACCGCGCTATTTCCGCCGTCTGTCTTGTCCCACGCGGGTAGGCCTCGATCCACTTTGAGAAGTGGTCGACGAATACCAAGAGAATTGAATATTCACAACTATTCGGTCCAGGGGGGACGATAATATCCGTCGTGTCCATGCTAACCCTCTGAAATGGTTGTTGGACTATGGTGGGCACTATCGACTTAGGTGGCTGAATCGGTGCCTTGTCGGCCGCAAAGACAGAACAGTTCTTAACAATATATTTAACGTCGTCCCTAATGTTGGACCAATACCATTCGTTCTTGTCGATGGCGGACTCGGTGATCCTGACCACGAAATGGGCTGCTGTCTCTTCGTGGGCTGCCTTAACCCAGTCATACCTCATGAACGGGTGCGGAACTACCATCCATATTCCGCTCTCGTTTGTTTTCCGCTTTTCTAACCGTCCCTCATTCCACCTATAGTCCCGCGCCATTTCATTGGCCCATCTCCAATCGTCCTTGGAGAATTCTCGAAGAGGGTTCCCTACGACGGTCGCTATCAAAGCGACATTTGTCCACACCTCTGCCCGTCTATACTGTAAGATCTTTTCCAGTCCTTCCGACGTCGCTTCCAAGAATCGAGCCTCCGTCGGAATCTTATCGGTACGGCACAGGTGGCAGAGCCACCATTTCTGCGGATTCCTATACTGGACACATGATCCATGGGCCCTGACTACGCACGTGGCACACTCTACCCACTCGACGTACCCTTCGTTTTTCGGCTTGACCGAAACGGAGTGGATGCACGAGATGGACTCACACAGAAAACAGAAACGATCGGGGAGGGAGAATAGAGAAGAGGAAGAAGGAGAGAGAGGGCCCTCAACGTTTTCTTCTCTCTGGGCCGCCATAAGGACACGTGTCACTTCTTCGCCTGCCGAGGGAGAACCTTCACCTGGCCGTACCCGAGTCCCTTGGGCTGTTCCGGGTCCTTCCACGGAGTGATTTCTTCGTTGCGTGGCACCTTGTCTGGCCGGTGCAGTCGTGTCAATCCGTCGGCGTTCCTGTGTTTTTCCGTTTTTCTGTGGACGATATCGAAGTCATACTCCTGCAGCCTCACCGCCCATTGCCCAATCATTCCCATGTTTCGTCAGCTTCTTGAGGGCCAACAATGGCTCGTGATCCGTTACGAGGAGGAACTTTTGCCCGTAGAGATACGGGTGGAAGTGCTGGATTCCCCATACGACAGCGTAGCATTCTCCTTGTGGCACCGAGTCATTCTTCCTTTCGTCCGACACCGTCCTCGAAGCATATTCGACCACGTGCTCCCGCCCGTCTTTCCCCCTTCTGAGCTAGGATAGCGGAGATAGCCTCGGGCCGCCAGTCAGTAATAAGTAGGAACTGGCGCTCGGGATCGGGCTGGATTAAAATAGGGGCCGAGGACAGGGCCTCCTTCAAAGTGCAAAAGGCCTACTCACGCTCCGCGTCCCAGTTCAGCGGCTGGTCCTTCCGCAGGAGGTTCGTCAGGGGCCGAGTGATTGCCGCAAAGCCCTTGATAAACCGTCGATAGTACAAGGCCAGTCCCAGGAAGGCTCGAACCTGCGTCAATGACGTGGGCATGGGTGCTTCCCGAACAACCTCGACCTTCCTCGAATCCGGTTTCAAGCCTCCTCGGGTTACCACGTATCCCAGGAACGAGATCTCGGACAGGAAGAATTCGCTTGTCTCCAACGCAATCTTGAAACCGGCGTCCCGCAGTGCGCCAAGTGTCCATTCAATATGTTGCGCGTGTCCATGGAATGATTCAGAATACACCAAAATATCGTCCATGTACACGATAACGCAAAAATTGATCATGCCCTGAGTTAACCTGGTCTTGTTTACGAAGTTCTGGAAAGTGACATTCATTGCCCGCTGGAAAGTCACCGACACATTGCATATACCCATAGGGCATCGAACCGACTGCCATGTGCCCTCAAACAAGACAAACGCCGTCTTCGGCCGATCCTCTTCCCTCACAAGGATATGGTAGAACCCGTGTCGAATATCAAATTTACTAAAATAATTCGCACAGCCAATCGCATCGAGCAGATCATCAATCCGAGGGAGGGGGTACACATCCATGATCGTGATGTCATTCAATTTTTGATAATCAATGCAAATGCGAATCGATCCGTTCTTTTTCGGAACCAAAACTACTAGACTCCGATTCGGAGCAAGATGGAGGGTCCTGTTGAGGAGTATCCGCGAAACCGTTGTTGCAGGCTGTGTGTTCTCCATCCTCAGGGAGTGGTTTTCATTCGCGCATCTTGACAACTATCCGGACTTTTTCCTAGGGTCGAAGCGAAGACTTCGTGCAACGATGCATAACTCTCGGAATTTGTGCAAAATAGCGTAGTGCAGCGAGACCCATATTCTTCTCTTAAATCTTTCATCATATTTCAAATTCTTTCAATTCACCTTCACTACCTACCTACCACTACTCCTAAGGCTTTTATCCCGTTTTCTTGATTGCTTGGGCCCCTTTGTTTTATTTTTCCCCTTTTTAAAAGGTCGATAACCTTGAGACATCATCATTAAGCTGACCGCCCTGGGCAATTCATAATTATTTTATCATGTTCATCTGGTCGCAACGGGATTTGAACTTGGGTCTGTAGGGTGTATAAACTGAGCTACACCCGTTGGTGCTTCAACTCCTTTTTTTTTTTTTTTTTTTTTTTGGAAAACATAGATAAATTTTATTTCAAAATAGGGAAGAAGACGGGAACCTCAATTCGATTTTGAAGTCCTGGGGTCATTACCCAGATTAGGCTTTAAACCTTTTTTTTTTTTTTTTTAATAACAAAACAGCCAGGAACCGGTGTCGAGCGCATCGGCTTCCGCCTTTTTCGCAAAGGCGAGAGTCCTTGCGCTCGACAGTCAGCACTGTTGTCGGGGATAACGACTATCTACCATTGTTCTAAGTGGAACAACAATCAGGTATTTTATTTTGTGATGAATAAATTGATTGCATTTTTATTTCTAAAAGTTAATTATTTTATCATCATTGATTGATTTCGTAATATTTCATAACTCTATGAAAAATGTGTTGATTTTATTTTGAAGATTATTTTGAATTTTTGATTATTTTGAACGATTAAATTGTTAATGTCCTAATATTGATTGGATCATAATATGTTATTACTTTGATACTTATTCATTGATATTATCTGTAAATTTCGAGTTTTTGTTTTGAGAATTATTTTTTTTTACGTGTAATATTTTAATCTGATATTTTTATCCTGAACTTTGAGGTATCCTTTCAATTACAATTTTCGTAGATTGAATTTGTTGCGCAAATTATTATCAGTCGGAACTATTTTGAAATGTTATCAACTAAACGTTAACTTTCTTTTGAGATTGTTTTGTATATTTTTTTAGTTATACATTTGACTATGATGTATATTTCGATTGATCAGTTTACCCGGACTCCTTATTATTTCGAGACTATTAATTTTTATGATGCATTTCTATGATAAAGTCGATCTAATATATTGTTGAAAATTATTTAGCGCGGGCCATTATGAAATTCTATGTGAAAGCATTTTGTATGGATGTTGTGGCGTATTTTTTGTTGAAGATGTTATCATGTCACGATAAATTTCTGATGGATTTGTGAGCTCCGTAGGTGGTAGTAAGGCTCACACTGGAGCTATGCTTCTGGTCCATAATGAGATGTTGTCTTCTGAATCATGTGTGGTTTAAGGAACGAAGACTATTCTATCACCGAAAAAGAGAAAAATGTTGAAATCTTGTCAGAATGCAACCTGTAAGGGTAGGCGACTATTGTTTGTCATGAGGGGGAAGAATGACTACCTAACCTCGTGTCACACATGGTCACCTTACCTCTATGATCGGGGCATAGTCTAACCCGATCATGTGAGGTAGGGCTATTTTACTATATAAGTAGAGGACTAACAAAATCGAAAACACTGAAATCAGAGAGAATGTGGTGAGGCTCGAATCTAAAGCGGGGCTTGATGTCGAGATGTTATTCCTTGAAGAGGATTACACCACTCCTCGACGCATTTCACAATGGGTTCAGAAGTAACGGGCATGATAACTTATGTGAAATGGAATGAAATTATAATTTGGATGAGGAACTTTAAACGAATGGTTTCTCTCATGAATGGTTAGTCCGCACTTTGTGTGAACTATTCCATGAGGTTGATTTTTTTTAAAGACCCGTCATGGGGTTAATCTTGACTTTTTCGGATAAATGGATGTATCAACCAAATGAATTTTGTTTTGAAATTAGTCGGAGAACTTTCGAAACCATTCTGAGAGACTGAATGTTTTTTTAGTGACTGCCAGTAAGATGATGTTGGGATCATTATGAAAAGGCTCCCTCGAATTGAAGGCTTTCAAACTATGTGTCCCACCGTACGAATACGGGGAGTACGTATGGCCGTCCATACGTACGTACGGCCCCCCAGACGGTCGTACGAGCCGCACGGGCCGTACGACCCGTTTCGGGGGTCGTCCCGGGAGGGGGGGTGACATCTGAGAGGGTGGGGGAGGGGTGCATGTTGGGGGCTACCCCCTAAAGTAAAAAAAAAGGAAAAAAAAAAAGTTTGTTCGGGGGTTTGGTCGGGGAAAAAAAAAAAAGGATTGATTGTTTGATTGATTGATTGATTGATTGATTGATTGATTGATTGATGATTGACTGCTTGATTGATTGATTGATTTATGATTGATTGATTGATTGATGATTGATTGATTGATTGGTTGGTTGGTTGGGGGAGGGTCGCCCCCTACCCCCGTCTCCCCCCTCCCCCCCCACCCACCCGCCCCCCCACACACAC